TGATGTTCGCCATGTCGTCACTCCTTGTCGCCTCGTTTCGGTCCGAGCTTGGAAGGGGGTGCAGAAGAACAGCTGCTAGAAAGACACACTGGCGCGATGGAGAGAGAGGCTTGAATATCAGGCGATTTACGCGTCGGCGGCCATCTCCGACGTACTTCAGCCATGATGGGACGGCTAGATGTTGTAGGCGGGGTTGCTGCCGAACACAGAAGGTGTACACGAGCGCGATAAGGCTAATGGTGGGGTCGCTTGGCTGGAACCTCAACACCACGCTTGCATCGTGATATCCATCTCCGCCCATCATACAGCCACCTCAATGACATCGAGCTCAACATGTCTCAGGAGGTCTTGTCATAGCTCCAGCTTTTTTTATCTCCAGTCAGCTGGTGGGCCTGAGCCGATCGCCCTCTCGCTGCTCGTGCTGGCACTTTGGATCCGTCATCATCAGTTTAGACATCGGTTGACTACGATGTCAGGGAATCTTAGTTGATTGATCGCAGGAGAACACTTGAAACATGGCTCTCATTACAACATCGGCAAGACGACGGAAGCGATCCTCGTTTGCGTAGATCGAAGCAAGATATCCAAACCACTACAGGCATGTTTTAGGTTACGGAGGGAGCACAACAGCTCAACTTGACACCTAGGAAAGAACCTCAACGGACACACGAATATATAAAAAGGCACCATGATGAGTGCGCGGCAGGATACGGTTTCAATTCGCTCAGTGAAAAGTATGCGAGTTCATCAACGTCTTGCGGTGGTATCTGTCTTCCCTATGTCTACTTTCTCGTCTTCTGCAGTCAATGAACATTGCCAACAGCTCGTAGCGAAGGATGAGCTCACTTTCTTTCTTTCCAGCGATTCTCAAAAGCGCCCATAAAGAGTTATCCCAGTGATCTTCCAAGCATTTATCTGTTTTATCTCTTCCTCAATTCCACGCATAAAGCGCGGATATCAATGAAAAGAAAAGGTGGGCCGTAAGTGAACCCGGGATTGCCAGTTCCTCGCTTCCTATCTTCCATTCAATATCTTGTCTCATTGGTAAGAGGGTGATAAAAAATGGTAAGCAGTCCACGATGGTCCGAACGCTCACGTCATCTACTAGAGATGTCAACCCAAACACCCAACATCTCCAACGTTAATTTTTACCAGAACGCCGGATTTGCTGAATGCTTGGTAAGTATTTCGTCCAGGATCGAGCATGTCATCAAGATGACGTAGCTCTGGGCAACGAGAGGAGCGGACTACTGCGCCGGACGGTCGCGATCATGACCAGCTCGTCGTTCTCGTACTGTGCGCGGATCCATACAAGTAGCGACGAGGCGCACCAGGTGCTCTGGCAGTGCTCGAATGCGCTTGAGTTGGTCGGGGTACTTGTCGAGTAAATCTTGTCGAAATCCGCCGTTTCTGCTGTGCGAACTGGGCCGGAGACTGTTTCTCCTGAAGAAGAAAAAGAGAGCAAGAAGGGCAGGGGAGAGCGAGATGATATACTCCTAGCAACACGCTAACAATTGCTCACGTGATTTTGGTAGTCCGCGCGCTGGAGCCTAGAAAACTCAGGAACCGCGTGTGAGTAGTGAAGGGGAGAGGAGTATCAGCTCCCAATTAGGTTAGACCCACGTCACTGCAAACACCCAGCGCACACAACGACGAAACCCGCTCAACCCCAAATTCTCAGACTCTCACCATCCTCTCACATTGCCTACCTTTCCGACCTGGTCATGGACCCACCACGCATTCAGGCGCTCGTGGATGAGCTGCGGGAAACCATCAAGGCCTTGAACCGAGAGAAAGAGGCCCACAGTGCGACCTTTCAAGAAGTCATCAACCTCAGGAAGCATCTGAGGGAATCGGACCGCAAGCGGAAGGTCCTTGAAGGCGACAACGAGCTCTTGGTCCTCAAGTGCAAGTTCCGAGAGGGAGATGGTGAAGACAAAGACGGTGGAAGCAGCGATGGCGACATGACAGCAGTCCATACTGACGACAAGGCGCTCAAGTCTGACCTACCCGACGCCCCAATCCATCACCCAGGAATGTACAAGGCATTCTCGGCCTCCCATTCGGAAAGTCTGAACGCCTCGTCTTCGGCAAACCACTTGGACCACACCACCCACGCTCTCTCAGAAGACAACGTCGCCGGCTCTACCCACGGTACCAAGCGGACCTTCGATGAAGCCAAGTAAGTAGTCGCCACGATACCACAGCCATTCCGCTAATTGCTCTACAGCTCCGAAGATACCGCGCGCGTCATCGTGTGCATACACTGCTATCAACTCAAGCTCCGATGCGACTCCGGAGAACCTTGCAATAACTGCGCCACATTCAAGCGCCTTTGCAAGAGGGCCAAATGCAAGGACTACGAGACTGGAGAATGCAAGCGAGCCAGCTGTCTGAGAGCACATCGCGAGGACGAGGAGGTATATGACAACATCGTCCGCACAGGACATATCCCGAGGGTTGATCCCTCCAAGCCCGCGAAGCCCAAACCGAAGAGGCGGCGAGCCTTCCGGTGCAAGAAGAACGACGATGACAAGAAGGGTGGTTCAGGAGACTCTGATGGTGGTGGTGGTGGTGGTGGTGGTACGAGTACTCGCGTTCCTCTGCATTATTAGTCCTGCAAGGAGTGCCACGAGGATATCAGGAGTGAGATGGAAGCCACCCATGAATTTGATAGAGCACAAATGAAAACATACACTTCTCGACGCTGCCTATTTTCCTCCTACTTTGGATCAACGCTGCTACATTTGTGAACTCTTAAGTAAGCCTGTCATGCTGCAGGAGACTTCTGGGCTGCAGTATCGTTAGCGGCGCGCCTATGTATCTTATAGGTAGGTTGTTAGCTAGCTATGCATTGGGCAATTTGGATGATGTTTACCTCAAACACTACCATCCTTCTGCTTTTGTCGCTGCGCCAAAGAGATGTCGTCAGGAACGAGGATGGCTATTGATCAACCTCAGTGATCTGTATAGGATGAACTGTAGTATAGGTGTCTCAAATAGCATAGTACTGCGTCCCAGCTACCTGTGGACGTCAGCTGTCGGAACGGACACTAGGAGTGGCTACAGTCTGAGGGGCATTCTGTGAAAGCGACATTGAGGTAGAAGTATACATGTTCTCAGGAATAGTCTAGTTGCCAACATTCGATTGTATGTATGCGACACAAGTTCTTGCCATCCCTGGTGTGGATGGACTCAGACAATTGCTACTTGCACCGTGATTCGCTGATCAAGACTATCCAGCTTCCGCACCTGGCAAGTCTCGACGTCTTACTCTGCTTCACCAGGGCACTGGACGCAGAAATCACAACACACTTAACAAGTGTTGGCCGATAGTCGCCTTATAGGCTGATACTGACTTCCAAGGTTATTTCACTCCGATGCATTTCCGCAGTTGATTAGGTTCGGTAACGATGACAATTCTCATGCGATCTCATTGAGTGGTCTTTTCTATTATCGGCCCTTTCTATACGTATGGCTGCGACATGTTGTAAAGAAGCGTTTATCGCTAAACCTTTCCCTACTAGGCAACATTCAGACAAGCAAATCGCCTAGTCAAGGTCTTCAATCCACCTGTACAAGTAAATCTCCAAGAGCTCATTCTTGTACATCCTAGTTTCCGCCTTGATCTCCGCATTTTCCGCCTCGAGCTTAGCTTTCCTGGCTTTTAGAACCTCGCGCTCGATCTTCTGGGCCTCCACCTCAACCCTCTCGACAGCAATCCTCCTTCTGAGCACTGCGTGAAGCTTCTTCGTCTCTTTTATCACCTCCAAAGACCTCGCTGTCTGCGCCTCAATCATCGCTATCTCCTCGCGCCGTGCTTTCTTCCTTTCCTCCTTGGCTCTCGCCTTCTCCTCCTTGACTCTCGCTCTCTCCTCCTCCCTCTTCTTTGCCGCTTCTTTTCTTGCCATCAACTCCTTCTTTGCAGCCATCAACTCCTTCTTTATAGCCTCCTTCTCCTCCACTACACGAGCTTTCGCCTCTCTGTTCATGTCGATACTTCGTCGCAAAAGCTCGGCCCACTCACTGAGGAATTGCTCGTGAAGACCCCGATGCGCTTCCTTGAGTTCCTCATGGTGACGGAGAGTGGAGGGGTCGGCGTTGATCGCGAGCGCAGCTTGGTAGTCTTGTTCGATCTTGGCGGAATCGGCAACGAAGACGAGATGTTCCTTTTCTTTCGCTGAGAGCTGCGCATCGAGCTGATCGCGAATCTCGTCGGCTGTAGGCGGACCGAAGAATAGGAGGGCTGTGGTATCTGTACCGTGGTCGCTGTCGGTATGTGTGTTGTCAGGCTCGGTAGAAGACATCGTGGATCGCAGAAGACGGCGTGTCGCGCTTGTGGAGCAGTATGTAGCCTTAGGCGAGAAGATAGATAGCGATGGCTGTAGTGGTGACAGAGTATGAAGCGCGGAGTTGTAGAGTTCGTGTGCTCCTCGGCAGATCTAGCCCGTTACGGATACGTCAGTGAAAGACACGGACGGCGGTTGCTGGATATGTGACGACTCACTCAAGTCAAAATCGAGCTTATCGTTGCTGAGCAAATAGAAATGGATCATTTCTCGAGCGGCGCGTGTAGAGATACTGCCTTTTTCGGTGTCGGTAGCGCCAATAGAGCCCTGAAGGTGTAGGCAGCAAAGCGTACGGTCAGGTGTCGGTGTATTTGAGCGTTTGATTGGTCTCTCCTTTCCACCTCGTTCTATCATTCGCTGATAAGGCCGTTTGGTTTACCTGAGTGACGTCGCAAATTATCGCGAAAATACGCACTGACTATAACGCGTTCTCATTTCCTTAAAGTCGCACAACTTGGACCGACTCTCCTCTCTCCACCGTCCTCATCTTCATTTCTGAGTACCCGTACGCAATTGCGACACGCCGATCAGCTCCGCACACCCCGCCGCCTCCCCACCACGACTTCCCCGTCACGAGTAAGTTCTGACTGTACGAAATGCAAGTGAGACATGTACTGACTTCGTACCTCTACCTCTGCAGCCGGTTTCACGATGTCTTCTCATACAGGCACCTTCAACGCTCCTGCTACACGGGCCAGCCGCTATGTAGACCCCGATGTGCATGAGGAGCTTGTATTGGCGTTTGCGGATCTGGAAGTTCGTAATGAGGAGCTCGAACGAAACTACGATGACCTCGAGTATGCGTACGAGCAGACGAAGGCACTCGTCGAGCTCGCGCCTGACGACTCTGACGCCACAGAAATGCCACCCAACTACAACAAGATCAACAACGACCCCTCAAACGACGACTGGTACGGCCCCTGTATCGAAGCTCAGGCTAAGGTCCAGGCTCTCGAGGCAGAGGTTGCCAAACTCAAGCACAAAAACTTCAGTCTTGAGTGCCAGGTCGAGCGTCTTGGGGGCGAGGTCGAGTCTAGCGATGAAGTCCCCGTTACTCCTGCAGCCGAAACTACTTTCCCCGACGACGAGCCCTTGGATGAAGCCATTGTCACGTCTGCGTCCGAGACTGCTTCCCCCGCCGACGAGCCATCGGATGAGACCGTCGTCACGCCTGAAGCTGATCCGGCTCCCGCCGACGACGAGCCGAGAGGCCACAAGCGTACTCTCTCGCAGTCCGAGGTCGCATCAACTGAGAATGTCGAGAGCAAGAAGGCCCGCCCTGCATTCTGGAGTGGAGACCTGACGAGGCGACCTAAGAAAAACCCAAAGAGACGTCAAGCGCAGACACAGGTTTGAGGTAGACATACCCCCAGACACATGTTGTACAAAATGCTAACATACCTTTTAGCAGCTACATACTCTCACATTGGCGTCCGCTGTCGCTCGAAAGCTCATTGGAGCTCGTCAGGCCTCCTTATTGGTTCTGGTGTATGTGGTAGCGTTGGGGTTGAGTTGCAGCATACTGGGTGGGATTGTAAGGCTGGACAAAATCGCTGAGTTGATGATAAGGGATTCGAAGCACTAAACCATTGAGATTGACAACGTGATTGTGATCTGACAGCCTCCCTGGTGATGTATGAGTTGTATGTGCATCCGCTGTTGATGCGATGTTGTCGTGAAAGAGAGGCGAGAATCTGGGACTCGTGAGGTTGGAAGACACGTACCTCGGCGTTAAAGTGGATACCTCGATGCTTAACTCCGAGCTTGTGAGGCGCAACTTCCTCATACCGCCATTTCGTCTCAGAAACAACAGAGTGCACCTTCGACTCAGACTGCGGCCTGGTCCTGGTTCAGACCTATCCAGCACTACCAACAACTCAACATGTCGTTCCCGAAGTGCGCATCTCCGCTGTTCGGGCTTCCACAGGAGCTTCTCGAAATCGTACTCAGCTATCTTCCTCCGTCCGAAGACGCGTCGAACCTGTCTCGTACCTGCAAAGCTCTGCACGCAAAGACCGTAGCGCATCTATACAGCAACATCAGCATGGAATGGCAGGTCGTTCAAGCAACTCGGCCACTGACTGTTGCTGATGTGGATGTCCCACAAGCTCTGCGTCCCAACCTTCTTTTGCAAACGATCTTGGCGAATCCCGCGTACGCGCAATCGATTACCGCTTTGAAACTGCAGAGTACCGAGCTTGAGGATATTTGGTATTCGTCACTTGTTAATCCACGCAGACGGGAGCCTTTGGCGAAACTGCACCCGGATGTTGCCTCAACTTGGACGAACGCGAAGCAGCGACTGGCCCTGAACGCCGTACGGGATGCAGGGCTGGAGTGGCACCATAGAGGACGCGGAGACCCTTTTGCAGTCGGCGGTTGCTCTTGGTATGAAGCCATCCTGATGTACGATCTGGATGCTACCTTAGCGCTGCTCGTGTGGATTTGTCCCAATCTTGTATCACTCGATCTAGGGTTCCACATCGGCGACGACGTAGTGTACCTCCCTGAGGTCTTGTGGAAGCTGTCCTCTGGTGATGCGGAGTCACAAGCTCTAGGATGTCGCAAGCTTCGAAACGTTCATCTCGGCCATGTGCACATCGCTGAGGAGGAGCAACCGAGTGACAGGTGGACTCGGGTCAGATATCTACACCCGCATCTGGATTGGAGGGGGTATTGGGCTTTCTTTTGGTGCCCAGACATCCAGAAGATCGAAATGAACCTGATGGATGAGACTGCACATGCAGGTATTCAGGAAGCAACATGTCTACCTGTCTGCTCAACGTTGACGACACTGAGACTTGGCGAGTCTTCAGTGAATCCAGACACACTCGCGAAACTGCTGTCGTGCACACCAGCTCTGAGGGGATTAGACTACGAATATTGGGTTCGCGATCAGGCATTCATCACCGTGGATTGCGCGTCGCTCAGCGCCGCCCTCAACAGTGTTAAGAGCACCTTGGAACATTTGAGATTCTTCTGTCAAATGCATTCGCCGGGGTCCGTTGACGTTTACGGGAAATGCCATTTTTGGGACTATCCCGTTCTTTCCTCCCTCCACGTCTCGCCTGCCGTGATGCTAGGCGGTGAGGCTTCCCTTTGGCCCCGAATCGAGGAGGTCATGCCATTGAGCTTGGAGGAGCTGTGCTTTGTCGATGATGATCTTCTCGAGTTCTGGAGCCCGAAGGAATTGATACCGTTGCTAGACGACTTTTTCCAGGGTGGTTGGAGAGTTAAAACACCAAAGCTGCAACGCGTGTACGCGACGCACAACAAGCCGTGGAAAAAGGCGTGTAGGGGAAACTATCTGCGGCTTTTGAGCGAACGAAATGGATTAGAATGGGTAAACACTAGCTGAGCACGAGAATGAAGATTTTGTATTTACAACACAAGGATTGTCGGAGATTCTGACAGAGGAACTCCGAAGCCGAGACAATACGAAATGTCCAAGCGGCTGCAGTCGGTCGGTGCGAAGCGTTCCGCCGTGTACCGACATCACGATGATGGCGATGATGTTCGTGCCGCATCGGGAGCTGGACCCTGAGATCGCGTATTATGGGATGACGTCTTCGATTAACGACAGACGCGACGCGCCGATGGTACAAAGACAATGGCATACCACGATTTCTTGCTGAATCTCATCCTACATCTACAATCCCATCTTGCTACATCACGTTCATACACGTGACCCTACGTGCATTCCCACTACAACCTCGAGCCCCATCATAGCCTTCAGTATGGGCAACACACAATCCACGGTGCGCTACCTTGCGCCAGCATCTTTCATCTACGACTTTGCTCTGCAACAATATGGCATCTTTTCGTCGCCCAACATGATGGATATCCACAACCGGAATCTCGCAGCTTTCAGCCCGTATCCATACTTCATCGGCGCATTCTTCTTCCCACAGCAAATCTTCCAGCTGGTCTGGTTGTGGAAGCTGTGGAAGCAAGATGGTAATGCGCAAGAGTGTGCGATGATGAACAAGTTTGCTTGGGTTTACAGCCTGGGCAACTTTTGCATTGGAAGTGAGTCTTGTCATTGAAGCACTATACAATACCACAGAATAAAGACTAACGTATACGACAGCTTGGATGTTCTTCTGGAACTCAAACAACCTGGAGACATCGAACATCTTCGTCATCATCAACACACTGGCACAAGTCGGTTACATCGCTACGGCGCTTGAGCCGCTCGACACGCGATCAACACCCAACCTCCTCACCCACATTGTCTCGAAGACGTTCGCGGGTATCGGTGTACTGGATCTCCTTCACAACACATCCGCAGCCTACTTTGTAGGTGTAGAGCCCAGTTCGCTGGTGCAGGTGGCTACCGGTGTTGGTTTCGCCGCGGCGGCCAGCATGAGCGACTGGATCTTCGGCGGCTGCTTGGTATACGACCTCGTTGCATTGACCGTTGGACAGGAAGGCAACTGGTCGAGGCTGCTAGGAGGATACGCGGCCATGACAGCGGGTATTGTGGCCTTCAGGAACTTCTTCTAGTAGGTTCACTCGGCCGTCGCATGCTGAGTCGTGCTGACGGATCGCAGTCCAAGGTGGAAGGCGCAGAAGGATGGGAGGTACGCCAGGGTCGAGAATGGCGGTGACGTGGTTTAGATATTGGGGGTCGCAGGTCGCGATACTTACCTTGATGCGGACGTCTCAGTGATGTGCACGTTGATTACTTCCTATAATGATAATTAAACTTCGTATCACTCTACGGTCTCGGTAGCACACCCAGTCTGCTTCGCTGTCTGTAATATGCAGGTTCCAGAAGCTCGACACAGGACGATGCCTCAAGTCCAGCCTCACTCATGGTGGGTTTCTGTTACGTTTCGAGGCAGATCTTAGTGCAGTATATTAGTTGAGGCTTGGAGGCCGAAGCGACGGACCCATCCGATGGCGGAGAGGAGGGGCAGATAGGCATGCATCGTCATTACAGCTGGCGCGCTATAGGCCGACCCCATATTGAAGTTGATCGATCTGTGATGTGCGCAGATCTGGCGATGGCAGATTGGTGCTGGGAGATCCAGCCGGTGTCCCTTCCGCGTGACGTGCCAGCCTGATGGTCGTCGCCAAGGCCCGCGAACGGCGGCAAGCAGCTCGGAGACGTCTGCGCTAGCATGATGCGCGTGCGCGCCCTTGCCCTCGAGATAAGCAACTCTTATCAATCACTCATAGCATCCCACCCGCCCAAGTCACACTGCTCCCGTCATGGCAGGCCTAGCCGCAACGGATACCGCTTGGCCTAGCATCGGTCATGCGAGCCCGCCGGGGGGTCCTCTAGCATGTGGAGATGCTTCCTTCTGGGAGCCTGCGGTTGGCTGGCGTGGATGACTGTTGACGGCCGTGAGCTGCTGTATGTCTTCTGTCACACTGCTCTGACGTCTCGTGTCTTTTCTTCTACTCTTCCTCTTCCATTGCCTGCATCCCGCGCTTCTCGTGGCTGTCATAACCTCCAGTTCTGCACGCCGAGTCTTATCAGCAACTGACCGGTTCAACGACGTCACAGCGCCGAGCTTTGGAACAGCGACTCTCACGCGACAACTTATACATATCTCTTGAAAGACGGTCGCTCGGCTGTACTTCAATTCTGACACCGACGTTACGCGTGCGTCGTATACGAGGTTGCATCCACGCCTCTGTGGCTGTACCAAGAGCCCGAACCAGCGCCTGACCACCCAGCCTGCGCTACCGAGACGTGAGGAAGAAGCAAGAAGCATCCGGGACAACGCGCGCTTGACTTCCGGTTGACTCTCTACGGCAGTCACAGTCCAGAAAGCTGCGTCGTTCCTTCCCATCGAACCCTCGAATTCGACCTATGGCACCATGCCTCCATACCTATCCCCCCTACACATAGCCAAACCCACGTTACCACCGACTTGCGAACCTGCGAACGAGTTCCTCTATCATCTCTCGGCGGCATTTCACACCTGCGTACCTACGAACCTCGCGCTCGTTTCGACGTTGCTCGGCACGTGCAGCATCATATCATGGCTATTCGCACAGCTACCACAGATATACAAGAACCATAAGCTGAAGTCAACATCAGGTCTGAGCGCGTTCTTCTTGACAGAATGGCTCCTGGGTGATGTGACGAACCTGCTCGGCTGCCTGTTCACCGGGCAGGCGTCATGGCAAGTCATAATCGCAGGCTACTACGTCTTCGTCGACTGCTGCCTGTGTGGCCAGTGGGTGTGGTATGAGCTGTTACACCATGGAAGGCCGCTGAGGCCAATCTGGGGCCGATGGAGTAGCTCAGCTGGCAGCGGTTCAGGTGGCGGAGGCTCTGCCATGCATCAGGTTCTGGATGGGATGAGCATAGGCGGTACGAACAACGCGTCTAGCCCGCC